GCGTCATTGCTTGGCAGAGCTTGACCGTCTGTTGGGCGTCTGGAAAGACGATCGAAGCCGAAGTTTCCGATTTTGACGACTGCCGCATCAATAAGTTGAGCTGCTTCAACAGGGAGGGTGGCGGTATGTCCTTCTAAATTGAGCAGCCACCCACGTGGAGACAGACAGACAGTCCTTTCTGCAAGATGCTGAGGATTCCTAGCCAACTCCTAAACGCACTCGATCGAAAGTGTTTAAAGAATTCTTGCTTGAGGAACTGCTTCCTTCGATCAAAACTGATCGTAATAATGCAACACAGCGCTGATAGATATCCGAAATAAGGGAAGCTCCGGTAACAGTTGCTGCAAGGAGCAAATCGTCGCACTCGCACTTGACCGGGTCCTCAAAAGTCCCGTTGGTGTTCTCAGCCACGGCATCCGAAATGAATCCCCGCCTCAGATCTAAGAGCATGTTTTGAGCAATCCACACTCATTACGGGGGAAGCGTAACATAACGTTATTGCTGACATCCCAACTCTGGTGTGGCAAATGTTAAATAGAGGTGCCGCTTCAATTGTTAGTAGCTTGGCAATGGAACACAGAAACGGAGTGGATACCAAGCAAAGATACCATTATCAGTCTGTCTAGTGCGAAGGAGTTAACTATTCTCCCTCTCAAGGTATACTCAAATCATTTGCACCACCCAAGTTGGTCCCAGACGCTAGAAATCAGGATGAAAGTCGTACTAAAGTTGAATTTGCTTTCTGCTGTCACCAATGCAGAGTTTTGAGACTTTTTAGTTTTTATAGAATGCATGAGGCTTGATTAAATATTTTTCGTCAGTGAGAAAGGAAAGTATTGAGATTTTGGAGCGGATGGAAGGTCAATCACTTCGGCATACGCAAGATGACCACCAGAGCTACCGTTATTCATGTACTGCAAAAAAATACATATTTCCAAATGTAAAGCTTGGCTCTTTCAAAGAACTTTATTATCTCACGTGCAAATTGAGTGTGTTGATAAATAATAACTAGCCAGCATGTACACACCACACGGCCGAATGTGTGGTATCAACTTCACGAAAGAAGTTTGCAGGGTTCTGTGACTTCTCACTCGGTTATTGAAGACTTCAGACTTGGCTGCAGAGCACTATTTAGGAAAGTGGGGCTTTGGCCCGTCACAAGAGTCAGTCATTTCATTGCCGTCGATTTGTTTCAAAGATAAGCTTTTTCCTTCTTTAGAAAACGTAAATTTCTCTTGGTCTGAAAACGTATTCAACTGAAGGAGCTCCAAATCCATGTCCATATTAGCTGCAAATGTTCATTACATCCGGAGTCTTTATATCGGAGTCCTCCAATACACACCTAATTCAAGTAAGTCAACTATTAACTTTCCTAGTTTCATATGAGAATGGCTCTCTTTGATCTTCCAAGCTTGGGCCAGAGCAGAATAATCGTCATTTTTATTTCGCTATGACCCTGCATCAATCAGATCAAAAGTAAATCCACGAGCTTTGTAACGTCCTTTATGCGCTATCTAGCAATAAAGACTTATAGAAGGAACGAATAAGGCAGCAGAATCAGACACAATGACATGACAAAGCAGAGAAAATACACTTTAGTAATAAACCTAATTTCCTAAACCGAGTTCGATGCTGATTTTTTAAAACAACGTCCAAGACATCCTGAATTTCGCAATGGTATTAAAACCATGACAGCTTTGCATTCATCAGGGAAAAGTCAATGATATTTTTAGCATTCTGTTTAAATCAGCAGCGGTAGGCGACCTCCATGCGCAGATTATCCACATCATGGAGAGTAGTTCAATTGGTGCTGTTAGGTCTAAACTTCTTGAGACGTACGACAGACAGCAAACAAAAAACAGCACCATATTAGAGTGCCTTCACAGCACTCCTCGCCAGCTGTTAGTTGGATTCTACACGCATCGAAGTATTCCCTATGCGAAATTTATAAATAGAATCCGGACAAGTACGAATGAAATAAGTGAGTGGAAGCTGAGTGCAGCCATAGGTTCAAAAGGCACTTGCGGATTTCAGACTTTTCTCTGTGAGTCCTGCGATACAGTGCCAACTTCCTATATTGTTCAAACTCTCTAACTTAAACTACTCTCGACATGTTGTCTGGCACGTGCCAGATGGAGTTGTCTGCTTTATGACAAATCAATGGCAGTGTTAGACCGCCTCTAACAGACAACTTAATCCTAGAACCTCGTCACATGGAATGGAAGTTAAAGTCAGCTAGGGTGAGTGAGAACATCGTTAGCGCTAAACAATCCGATGGAACATAGTGGTGTTCTAGACCTGGTATGTCATTACCGACTTTATGAATTTTGCTGAGATTGCGAGTTCACTGTATCAATTGGAGGAAAGTATGTGAAAACTATCCCAGCTAAGAGAAGCTGGAAAACATACCTAATGCCCTGCTCTTCACTGAATCCACCATCGGTAAATTTCGAATCAAGTGACCCACTCTTCGCATGGGACAATATCGCCAATGAGAAGGAGTGAACTGCTTTCGATTTCCATCATGGCTAGACGTTTCAATCATTACTTCTCAGTGAGCCAGGCGAACAGTTTGGTAACAAATTTGTTCAAGAGACTGTAACGGTGCGATATCGCAGTACAGTAAAAGGCATATCGACTCTTTCACTAAAACGGTGGCACCCACCTATACGTCACATGCTTGAGAAGCGTCTCATTCACCATCTTAGTTCATTTGCTCCTTATAAGTCAATAGCGCCTACCCAGTCAGGTCCTCGATGTCACTTGGTGGTTCTTTCAACCAATCAGACACCACATGTGGGTTACAAGTGAGCCAATTTTTCCAAAGCCCGCGCGCCCCCATGTAGATCATACTTCAAAAATACATTGTTCCACTGTCCAATCTTGACTGGTTTACCATTCCCGTCGGGCTGCGAGGTCACTTCAGTGGATGCTGCTTATATCACCCAGTCCTACTGAGCGTTAATGCATTCTTCTGGAATATTCCAACCTCTTTCGACCCTGGATAAGGCTTAAGGTGCTGCAAGTGACAGGAGCGAACGAACACAGCCCAGAGTCTCAACGTTTCTACTCTAAATGGGTGACATTGATTTGACTTCGAATTCAAAGTAGAATACATCTGATCAGTGCTCTAATCTACCCACCCCACCTGCACGAAGCCTTCGTATCTCTGCTAGGCAGACCTTGATGGACGATAGGGAGTGCATTGTAGCATCGAACCAAGAACAGTGGTAAGGAGGGTTGAATGGTAGGCGATAACTCAGTGCGGCTACACCAAGTCTGCTTTTGCCTCATGCTCTTGAAAGTAGCAATGACCATTCAAAATACCAATGTTATAATGAATGGCCTAGTTGTGACCAGCGTTGTTGGTAAATTAATCATTCAAGATAAGGAGATTACGGTAGGAAATTGGTGAAGATAGAACCAAATTCACCTCCAAGTGGGATAATGAAGCTGAGGCTACTGATTACGGGGTGACATCTATGACGTGGACTTGACGGTGATGACAGCCACAAGAGAGCAACCAGAGGTTCCGCTCCATGTTATACTTAAAGCTGAGATTGAGTGCCGGAGATTGGCAGCTCTTCAAATGAACGTTTAATTTCACTCTGCCACGTTGTCTTGCGTTAGACAACTAAAAATTGCGGTAACCCCAGTGGCAGCTAAACCCATTGCGCACTACCTCTCAACACTATTAATCTAGAGTGCTTCGAGCAACACTCAGAGTAGTGATAAAAACGACTCACCCTTAATCCACTATTAAATAACCTCTATTCCGAAACGGATAAATTGCTGATGATTTGTTTGAGCCACCAATTTTTCGTAGGTGAATCGCAAGATAAATGACCTTAAAGCCGTAATTTAAAAAGGAAATGTAAAAGTGCAAAACAGTGGAATAACCATTGATTTCTTCAACCATCCTCACTACATAGCTTACATTTCCCCATAGATCCCGAATTAAAACGACCACCCAAAAGGTCATGAAACGTGGTAACAAACACAGCACACATTCCACCCTCATAAGGCTAAAATGAGAATAAGAACTCACATGTAAACAAATAAAAGGAGAACTTCCGGAAAGCCATAACCTAACCGCCTCAGATGGTAAAAACGCCAGAGCGAGAAAACACCAAACGATCGTAAGGAATTTACGAATATACAAACCAAAACTAGAGTAATGGCAACAATATGCTTTTACTCCTGCGAAACTAGCGAGTCTAATTTCAAATGAACAACTTAAAGCACAATTGAAATCCTTTACAAGAAGAATTTGTTACGATGCAGTTGGCGAGAACATCCATGCATGCTTTACCTTCGCCTTCTCGAGGCTGCGGTGTAACTAGAAGGTAGAAAAGACAACAACGGCAGAACAACATTTTTTGGCAATAACTTTAACAAGCAGTTATCGAATGTGCTCACAACACCCCATCCACGTTCTAAGATAGTCGTTCACACCGCAAATTATCACCTATTGGTCCAATTTGGAGAACACTTGCAGTCTAAAAAACGGTTTAATTGCTATCCATCCTATAATATTGATAAATTATCGATCCCGCTTCCCTATTACCAAAGCTATTTATGCGCCCTGACAATTGGTGCTAGTTTGTACAACCCTAAAGCGCTGAAACCTTGTTTACGGTGTTGATAGTAAACATGTTAAGAAGCCCATTCTTACCTTACTACAGTTCCGGCAATTCCAAGCAGTAAACCAACAACTCCAGCCCCAAGAGCAGCCCACCAATTAGCATTTGGCCCTGCATGTTTCGACTGTGAATCGCTACGAAAATCAAATGACTTTGGATAGCCGTGAAGTGAAGAGAGAGAATCTGACACCTTGACAAAGGTAAGAACATGAGACACTGATGAGAGTACGTCTCAGCATCAAGGTTATACCAGTCTATTAATCGATTAACATTAATAACAACCTTTGTTGTCTACATCACAAAAGATCCTCGGTTTCAGGACCGCAACGCGGTAAAGGTAAGAAATAGACGCGATAGTTAGTCACATTTTGAACTCACATTTCCCTCCGAACTAAGCAATTGTTCAACCTGCAGGCATCGACGAAGATCTCCTTCATCGAAGGCTTCTCGACAGAGAGGACATTTCGCCTCGCACTTACGAATGTAGCGGGAGATACAGGAATAGCAAAAGGCGTGCTGACAAGGAGGCATCACTGGATGCCTTAATGTTTCAAGACATATCGGACATTGCAAAGTAGATTCAACCATAATGAGGCACTTCAAGTTCCTACAGCAAGCAAGAGGAAGAATGAAGGTCAACGAATACATAGAAGTCACTAAAAACGAATGCTATTGCTGGAGCAGAAGCCAGACTTAACAGGCCTGCAAACATTTAAAATGTAAGAGACGACCCATGAATAAGTGCTTTCTATTCTAGGAAGTTTTAAATCAGGAAACCAAGAAAAAGAGCTCAGCCATTTTCCATTGACTGATAATGCACCAAAACATCAGGACTACCAAACAACGATAATTGCACTAGGCGCCCTGAAGAAGCGTGCAGAAAAATCAAACGTTTGACAAAGCTAAAGTCTGTAACTTGTAGCAAGGAGGACCTCGGAAAATTGTCTCCTACAGAGGAAACTCATTGGCTGCAATTTCGACAACAGTGGCTTTTTGACCCAGGAAGCTAGATAACTTCAAGATGTATATGCGGAGCAACACATGTAATGCTGCCGGCTAACAATAATAATCTTTTGGGATTCTACTTAAAAATATACAAAATAAAATAAATATTTATTTTTTACGGCATGTACTTTTAATTCCTTCACTCTTTCAGCGACATCTAGTATGAGCCAATTGAACTAACTGGGACAAAGTTATTGAAGTAAAAATAACGGCGAAACAAAAACGACCTAATGAGAGTTGTTGTATGTCCTCTCTTGGTAATAAAGTTGGCCAAACACTATGTTTACATTGGTGTTGCACTCTCAAGCAGTGAGAATATAACGTTATAGAAGAAATTGTTCCAAGTTTGGGACAGAAAATTTGTTGGTGTCTGTATAAGAGGTTACACAGTAATCGCAGTGTTACTGAGTGCAAAAAGTATTACTTAGATATCCGCACAGTCCGTTTGGCGCTACATTTCCCAGCATCAGAGCATCATCTGCAACGTAGAGAGTACCAATGTTCGACTGCATGAATGCTAGGAAGTGAATAGAGACTGGGTTTGATCATGGCCTAAAGGTCAGCCAAAGCAACGAGGACTAGAAGAATACTGGAGGAAGTGCCAGACATCAGTTGCTATTATAAATAAAATTCCACGCTGCCCCTCATTCCTTTTGACTCCTTTGACGTCCTCGGGGCTCCCCTTAGTACAAACCCCGCCTTAGTCAACACATCATATTATATACTGTACAAATCGAACATCAACTACTTCAAAGACAAGACAGTGGAACTCTGGTCTAACGCAGATGTTGCACAGGGAAAATGGAATCAGACACAGTCTCGCATATAATGAGGTCCGTAGTGTCATTTGCGACATTCGTGTGCAAATGAAGTTGGGAAAATAGGGCAAGGGACTTTTACTCTGGTTCAAGGCGGTGTCATTTTGCTTGATACTAACTTGCTTATGGGCAACATGGACGAGGCAGAGCCGAATGATGAAGTAATTACCAGCCTTTATAATGTGAAGGATGCAAAACTTCTCCAACACGATGGATATGTGCCGCCACCGCAAAGTAGGAATATGCAACAAAGTAAAACACCTAAATTGGAGGCCATTAGAAAAAGTCAAGCTAGCACGAGTTCTCCACCTGTCTTCCACACTTTCCCTTATTTGTGTTGCTCATTCGAATCAGCTCACCACCTATGATAGACACACAAAACCAACGATCATTCTACGAATCCCCAAACAGGTGCCGATATTAATAAACTCACCATCCTTTGGATCACTTGTGTCGATGAGATCACTAGTCTTGGAGAGGAGAGAGCTGTTGTTTGAAGAAATGCAGGCACCGACGCCTCCACCACCACCACCACCACCACCAACACCATTACCACAACCACCACCACCACCACCACCGCTGCTGCTGCTGATATACTGACATTCAGACTGCTGTAATGTGTTCT